CCCACTCTATGTGGAGCGTGTGGAAAAATATTACTTGAGAAAAAGGGGCAGCTTTTAAGTTGCATTCTTACACAAAACACAATTACAAAACGGACTTCCAGCTGCGTTTTGCTAAATGACCAAATAGGATGCTGGGCTGGTGTAACTGGCTTTTTACTCTTGTGTCATAATAGGGCAGGCATTCAGCAGCTTGGATTTAGGTGGTAGGTGACCTCAGTGCTCTTAATGTCAGCTCCTTCTCAGCACAAGACTGCAGTACAATACTTACCTGTAATGCAGCAGCAGTTTGGATCTTTAATTTTTTTCTTTTTGTTGTTTTTTTTTTGGAGGTGGGGTGGGGGTGGAGTTTCTCTACCTCCTGTGAAAACAAATCTCTTTTTGTGTTCTCCACCTCCTGAGGTGGTACACTGTGCAAATACAGTATTTGGTTTGCACACCGCTCCTGGATTACAGGTTAGAATTGTGCTTTTCGTATTTGCCTTCTCAGGGAACAAGTGTGTGCAAGCGAGAACGGCGACATACAAAGTGCCAAGGTGACAAGTGGACCCAGTTACTAAGCACGAATCACAGATGGATTTATGAGAAGCTGCTTCCAGACGTTTCTGTGCATTATTGTAAAGATAATTCAACACGAGCGAACGCTCACGTCTCGTGTTTGCTGTTTTCGCTGCATGTTCTGTATTTTAAATAGCCGCATTCTTGCTTTATGTTCTACAAGCTCTGACTCTTGCCTTTCATTGTAACCCCATTGATCTAGCTGAAAGCCTAGCAAATCCAAAAACCCCTGCTGCCGCTCTCTTATACTGAGTATTTTTAGTCTTAATCTCACCAACAGGCAAACAGCCACCCCTAAGTGGACTGAATTTCACAGCTCTTGAAGCCATGCAAAACTGTAAATTCATAGCATTGCTTTTTATTGCAAAAAAAGGAACAAAAAGAAAACAAAAAAATAGGGTTGTCACATTGTTTGCCTTGCACTTGTTTCCCTCTTTGCACTCCATAAAATAGCCTCTGGAGCGTTTTTGTGTCCGTAGGCTCGTGCTGTACACCCCCCATGAGAGGTTAGCACCTGCTGTCAGTATATCAGTAAGGGTGCGATAGAGACAAGGCTGGGGACACAAGCGAAAAAGATATTCATACATTAACAGATGAAAGCTTCTGTTGCTTTTCACCTCCTCACACTCTGACAGGTCTGCTTTTATCTGCCAAAGCTCAAGGCGAGGACAGAGCTGCTTTATGGCGCTTTGCACTTCAAAACTACCTGGTTGGTCTTCCAAGGAGGGCCCCGCTTCCCTGCAGCAGCCACCCATCAGCACCTCGCATCCTCTTCTCACGCAGATGCTTACACGCGCTCCACCATTCCACCAAACATTCCTATTTTTCCTTCATTTTTGCCCTCCTCCCCCTAGAGTTAGCCTTTGTTACTCTATGCATAATTCTTTTGGGGATGGGTGCGTTTTCTCTTCCCTCCTGGTGAAAGAGCGCTCCCTTTCTTCTCTTTGACTTTATTGTGTCCAGACAGGGAGTCCCCAGAGCTTTCTTTATTTTTCACACTTGCCCAGATATATACTGTGTTTTCAGGGAGAATTCAGTGTGGATGAATAAGGCTTTGTGAGGTTTGTGTGTGCATGTAAATGAGTAAGTTTTTTAAAAAGAATGTTTAGTCAATAGGGCTTGGCATGTCTGGGTTTGCTCATGGTTGTGGAGAAGGCTTGATGGCCGTGTTGCTCCTGTGGTGGTGTTCTACCTCTCCAGGGGCTACTGGGAGAAAAAGAGGATAGACAGAAAGCAAGAGGGGGAATTGTAATTAAAATTTTCAGTCTTGTTAAGTTGGTGACAGCTTGCAATCGATGGCAAGAATCTGCCTCCAATACTAACGAACTAAAAGATCATTGGAGTTTTAGGTGGGCTGGGACCAGTAGAGGGAAAATAATTAAGATATTTATGGCCTCAATTAATCAGTTCACTGAGAAACTTGCTGCAGGAATACAGTACAGTTGGAAACTCTGAGAATGTACCTCAACTATATATTTTCTAAAACTCTAATTAGGAAGCCAGAGCTCCCTGAAGCAGCGAGCAGTATGACCTTATCATCCTTATTTACTCCTGAAATCCTAGTAGAGGCTATGGTTGAGATCCCCGTCCTGATCCATGCTGGTTTCACAAGGATGAAAACAGCAGTTTCGCCATATTACATTATAAAACTCTAATGAGGAAATATGAGCTCCCTTGTGATTCAAACTGCAGCACCCAATTATCCTTACTTACAGCTGCACAGGCTGATACACCCAGGTTAATGGCATAACAGAAGCTCTCCCCAAGGTGCTCAGCACAATGTGAAAGGCTGTGACATAGATCAATACATTATATCAGTGCGTCGACTCGGTTCTGGGGAATTCTCTCCTTCTGAAAATGCTGTAAAAAGATAAAAGAATGAAAGAATGAAAGTGGTGCTTCAAAGGAAAACGTCACATTGACAGAACCTCCCACGCGAAAATGTTTTAAATTTGTGCTCAGCTGGCGAGCGCCATGTTGATATTCTGCCCCTCATCCCGCCACCTGCCCCGGGCTTGTTAACAAGGTGCCCGTGGCAATGATTGCCTGGCCATCAAACTCCCAGCTGATAAGTTCCTCCGGGAGAAGCGGAGCTCTGTCATTGAATTCACCCCTGATCACCTCCTCATGCTGTACATTTGAGATAACGCTCGGCCATACCCGGCCTCGCATCCTTGGTAACGAGCGCTTTATATATGAATTATTCTGTAAAAATCCCCCCAGCATTTTGCAGCTACTTTGTGTAAGTGCGGGATGTATATTATTCGCTGCATTTGATAATTTGTTGACAGGATTTATATGCACAATTACGGTGTTGTAGCCTGTCATCAACATGGTATCCGGCGAGACACCTGTCACTTCCAATGTTGCAAGGCCCAAGAATGAGATTGGCTGAATGATTGAAGCCTGAGTGCAGTGAGGGTGAGGGACACAGTGACAGCACTGTGATTGACACAAATGAGAGAGAGGAGGAGATGATGGAAGGGAGCGAGGAGAGGACGGGATACTAAAACAATAGCAGGTTAAGAGAGTGGATAGAGGGAGATTTACAGATAGGCCGTAGAAGAGACAGGTGGCGAGTGGGAGAGGTGGGAAAAAAGCAGAGGACTGGGTGGGTGGGTGGGGATGGGGGGAGGGTGCTCTCTACAGTTCATCAAAAAGGTTTACTTAGAGAAAGAGAGTGCTGGGAGACAGGAAGCTGAGAGGAAGATGAGAGAGGAAAAGGGTGAAAACTATTCCAGGAGGAACATCCCAACTTCAGTCATGCCCCAGTGAATGTGCTGACAGGGTCTATCTGTGCCACAGCGGAGCAAGTGTCATACACGCAGACACACCACAACACACTGCACAGGGCAAGAGGAAACTGCCACTGCTTAATCCACAACACACAGCATACACAGCATGTGTAAGCTTTAAATGCAGTTTTGTAGCATTTGCTGGATTAGCCCACAGGACAACATCACTGCAAAGGACACGCTTTCCACAGTCTGTTCCGTGTTTACTGAGATTACTATTCATGATTTAAAATTGTTGTAGTTTGTCTTCCATGATCCCGAAGAAAGAAAATGACCTCGAGAATGATGTTAAGAACTTGGGATCAAGTGTTTGAAAGATGTGAGAATTTTACCAAGAAGCCGTGAAATGTGGCCGTGATGTCCACGTGGGGTGTCCCCATAGACTCACATGTTTAAACGTCCATTCTTTAATGCAGTCTTGGTCTTTGTAGCCCTGTCTTTAATGTCCGAGTTGGACCAATTCGCTCTGTTTATGCCTCTTTGTCTGTTATTGTTAATGTATAATTAATCCAGTTATAAAGTGATAGAAGTTTTAGCTCCAATTATTGGTTAGAGAAAGTCGAATATTTAGAAGTGTTTTAATAATTTGTTTGTGTTTGTGTGAATCAAATATGGATTTATGGATCCAGCTTGCTAATCTTCCTAACATTGGCTAATAACTAATACCTCCCCTCCACAACTGCGCCGATCTTTTATCTACAGTCTATGGGATTTATTAATCAAAGATGCCTATTGAATTGACACGACTGAATTGCTGTGTCAGAGCGGCATACCAGCAACTAAAATGTTACATCGCTCCCCGCTGCTTTGGTTTTGACCGTTATTCTATCTCACGCGATTTCTCCAACATCTTGAAAGTGTTTTAGCGAATCACTGGCATTTGGAGTTGAATTACACCGTACACATGCTCGTCTGCCTTTGCACGCGTAGTAGCAATAAAAAGGTTTTTATGTTAATGCAATCTGGGAAATAGTCACATTATTGACTTGTCAGATGTGTGGGCTGATGTTACTGAAACACTACTGAAGGGCTCCTGCTCTTATCTTTAAACAAGCACACTGATTGATATCTGACATTTTGATTTGGCGTAGGATTTCCATTTGAGGCTTGAGTGCTTGAGAGACATGCTGAGATTCAGATGTTTACCAACCTTTTAGATCGCTCGGGGCCCGACATGCAACAAAGTGCATCCACGTCTACGGCTTGCATCTGAATTGAAATGTTAACTGACTGATCAAAAGACAGTATCAATCGGGGTAATTAATCACACTTTAATATAACATGAATCTAACTTCATGTCATAGCTGGTCTCCTTCCAGTGCAATCTGAAATCCTTGACAGTTGTTCCCATTAATAAATGCCCAGAGCAATATCTAATAAGAGTTACTCTATCACCTTTCCATATACAATACCGCGGTGATAGCTTTGTCCCTGTCTGTCTCGCGTAAAACATTTCAGTGATTATGAAGCTATAAATTGAATTGCGTTCTTGCTCTAAAAAAGGCCTTTGTGAAATTGTGATTGCTGCACTGTTAAAAGGTCTGTCCTGCCTGTCAGTGACTTCTTTTACCTGTCTGTGCCTCTCCACTTTTAATTAACACAGTGCAATGATTAAAGTTTTAACTTAATTATCTTTATCTTTTCTCTCAGGGTGTTCAACCCTCGGCGGGAAACTGAATGAGACACTTGACGAGAGGAGTGGAGGGAAAAAAAGCAGCGGAGAGAAACTTGGTGAGATAGAGGGAGATATCAGGCAGCTGGAAAAAAAAACAAAAAGGAGAGGAGTGACTGACACCTGCCCTCCAGCTCGGTGTGAAGGGCATATAATGGGAGAGTGAGAGGAAGGGCATGAGGAGAGGGAAAGGAGAGGAGAGAATGAAGACAACCGGAAAACAAGGCCTGCCTCAAAGCAAACCTGTCTCCAATTAGGACATCTCACCACAAGACAAGATGATTACGAGAAATTTTCTCTTCTTGGTGTCCTTGTGTCTGTGGGAGGGGCTTGCGAGAGGTGCCTCAGCCAGTAAAATTTTACGGAGGAGAGGAGTGGGCGGATCGCACGTGGTGAAGCTGGGGGAGAGCCGTTCTATGGACGCGAACGTGGATTCGAATGCAATGCCCGTGGTTACTCTTCGAAACCTGATTAGCCACGAGCAGGCGAGCGACGCCAGATCTTTTTCTTACTCCAAGATGTTGCAGAATCATCCTGCCCCATCTGTAGCTAATAAGGAGAGACAAACTTTCAAGCCCAAGCGCGAGGTTGACTCTGTGGCCCCGCGCACATTGGCCGCTAGCAAGGAGTTTACCCAGGATGGGAAGAAAGTCAAAAACAACACCAAGAATGCTGACTCTTCCAAAACAGGGAGGTCAGAGAAAACTTTCACAGTTCATCATAAGCCAGATATTCACTCTAATAAAACCAAGTTTAAATCTGGCTCCAGGTCCAAAGGCAGGCCTGATTTCAGCGTCCATACTACGGGCGTGCCAGGGAAAGGTTTCAGCATAGACTCGAGCCGAAAGCTGAACCTCACTGGCAGTTACGGGGTGCTGAAGCTGCTCTCAAAAGACAACCTGGTTAGGATTGTCAATTCCCAAATGCAGAGCGTTCCCAGCTTGAGCTTTCCGAGCAAGGGCAGTCGGAGCAGGAAGCGAGATTTGATTGACGTTAATCACGGACAGCTAGAGCCTCAGAAAGTGCCGAGACAAGATATAGCTGTCACTCAGTCTCATGTGGGATATGATAATCAGACTGCATTTCCTTATGCCAGCCCAGTCGCCACTACAGATCTTAATCGGGACCGGGGCCCTGACACTCGTATTAATCCGCTAAGTGAAGTCAAGCCAGCTTTAAGTAAAGGGCAGGACAACTTGGGAAAACAGGGTTCAGATAGCGGCGATAGCAAGAGCAAACACTTTGCTCGTTTCCTGTCAACACCTCGCAGCGAGGTCAGTTTGAGCCCTGAGAAGGAAGTAATGATCAGCCAAACAGAACGGCCATTCACATCGACAAAACATCTCCCGCTGTACGTTCCCTCTGAAACAAATGAGTCTCCTCCGTCTGTGCTGACAATGCAACCCCTGGGAGTGAGACCGGGGAACAGAGCAGCAGAGTCCCGTGGAGACCCATTAACAGAGTCAGCTCACACTGCTCAAACAGATCTCAGCACAGCTCAGTACTCCGCAGATGAAGACAACAAACTTGTCAACAGCAGTCATGTCCTGAGGCTCCACCCTGCTCACGAATGGAGCCGCGTCGGGGAAGACGCCAAGATGCACGGCGCGGATCCCAAAAACGCAAAGGGCCTCGTATTTGAAGAAGCAGAGTCAGAGGTGGAAGAGGAGGAGCGCGATCGCATGGAGGTGAAGGGGTCACGGTCTCGCAGCAGGAGGAGCTGGATCTGGAACCAGTTCTTTGTGATTGAAGAATACGCCGGGCCGGAACCTGTGCTCATTGGCCGGGTAAGGAAAAAACTTCATTCATCATTTACAAGGGCTGTGAACTGTTTTATGAATGTTTTATGGATATTTAAGACACTGTTACAAGTCTCTTACATGGCTTATTTAACCCAAGGTCCTCGTTTCAGTTACACATCTCGTACAAGAAATCATTAGCATACTTTAGCCCCATAGTCACGCTCCAAGTTTTTTTTTTTTTTTTTTTTTTTGTGCATCGTTATAATCTCGCAATTGGAATTGATTTACTTTCCTCCAATATGGTACCTTCCAGGTAGCTGTAAAAACGCCAATGAATCTATGAAGTACCGAGGTGCGACAAAAGCCCCCGATCCGGTGAGCCCAGGGGGCTCGTCATGATCACAACCAATCTACAGCAGCCAATGGGAATTGACATATCCAGGCGAATTAATAGCTTTACTTTTTCCTTCCACCATTGATCCTCCCCGGAAGGCAGAGAGCAAGAGAGTAGTCCAAGTGTTCCCTCATTTCCCTGTAGGTCAGTCCTGTCAGCTATCCTCGCTCTTGGTCTCAGGCCTGCAAGATCCTCCTAATGCTATTTCATTCAGACTGATTTATACTTGCTTTGACAGGATTTATCACCGCATTCGCCCTCAGCACAGTCCTATTGCTCAGGTCTGCAATTTATTTAGATCACTGACTGACTGTGTCTTGCCCAGTACACACACACACACCTCCCCTCTCCCTTTTTTTAAAGAGTGAGCAGACGAGCGTGGAAGAGGTCACGTCGAGTGGACAGAAGGTGTCTCGGAGCCCTGCACTGTAATGGCTGCGCTCTCAGTCCTCAGCATGCGCCAACTGTCTCAGTACCCAGCTGCGGTAGATGAGCTAATTTATAAGCCTGTGTGGCCAGTTTGCTGAGCAAATGAATAGTAATGATCCCCGTGTGACTGCTGTAGGCTGTGAGAAGCCGGTGTGCGTGTTTGTGTGTGTGAGCGCTTCAAGTTCAGAGCTTCAGCTCAGTGGGAGGTGCGTTGAACTGAAAAGACCCACATCACATTGCATCTTTAGGTTTTAATATCCAGGTGCAGGCAGATGGGCAGGACCTCGCGGGCTTTGTGCGCAAGCCTCCCTGATGTTTAGCTAATATTTAATGTGGCTCCTTTTGCTTTGTGCTGTGACTGATGAAGGTCTGAGTGGAATGCTGGGAAGCACTGGAGAAGATGTAAGAGCCAATGGTCCAGCTTACAGATGGCACTGCGTGTAAAGCCATTAGTGCCAATCTGCTGTGTCAAGCAGGTATTTATGCCAGCACATTGTATGGCACTCAAGGAGGGAACAACGCCAGGCCACACACACACACACACACACACACACACACACACACACACACACACACACACACACACACACACACGCCCATATGATAGTGCTGACACTTGGAGTACACCCAGAACACTATTGTGACTGTGTATCTGTGTGTACTGGGTTAGAGATGCGTATGATTAGTTCCCTACTGTATGAGACAAGTGGCGGCACACATGTATAATGCTCTTATAGATCTTAATACGCTTATGAATTTTTAATCTCCCGCTCTGGCCCAGTGTAGGCCAGCTCTATAGGTAGAGAGATCAATGCGCGCTTGTCGGGGGTTTTTTTGTGTTTTTTTTTACCCTATTGAGGGCCTGATTGTGTTTTAATGGAGAAGTGTGAAGAAATTGACTGTGCAGGCCAAAACAGCTCCACCTGCCAGACCTAGCCCAGTCCAAAATCAGGCTCAGTCAGCTGCAAATACTGTTGCCTCTGTTTCAAAACAACGCATCTCACCTAAAACCAACTATACTGTCCTTACGCAAATCGTGGTCATGTGAAGGTGTTTTTCTGCGGGCTTGTTTTAAAATACGCCTTGTGACATTGATTCATGCTGGATTTTTGTGTGATCTTGGACAGTTTGTTCCAAATAAATCTCTACTAAAGCTGGAAACTAGAGCCAAGAGTCTAATCTGTGATGTCAATAGGAGACAAAGGCCCTGCTGCTAAACTGATAATGAATTGGTGGTGTGGAGGGGGTGGAGGGGGCAACTCTGTGGACACAGCGCTGGGCGCAGTTTTGAAAGGACATTTATGAGCACTTCCTCTGATTTCAAACTTTCAGAAGCTCTGTCACAAAAAGTGCTAATCTGTTCATCAATCTAAAGAGAATATAAAATGAAGCAGTCTCTGAGCCTTCCACTATCCATCAGCTGTTGCTTGAAATATCTCTGCACTCTCAGAGATGCAAGTTTTTGTTTACTGTAGCATATTGCTTTTGGAGAGTTGTTCAGGTTCACTAGAGTTGCCTAAAAGGGCAAGAGGTTTTCAGCGGTCTGTCTGAGTCAGTTTTCTGCTCTCTACAAACACCCTTTCGCTCTTTATGTCTCTCTTACACCCATGCAGAGCCCTGCACACACACACACGGGCATGCACAGGCACACAAAAACACGTGTGCACACTTGCAGACGCTGCCATGTTACTATATTTTCTCACAGTGGAGTGTCTCTGCCCCATGATAATTGTGAATTTAATTGATGCTGTCACATGGTCTGTAATGGGGTTTCAAGTGATTGCAGAGGCTGTGTGAAAGAAACACAGATTTTTCTTGAGGAGAAAAGGCGCCTCAGCAGAGCTGGGATTAAAAAAAAAAAAAACGCCCCTTTTCTGATTAGCTTTTCTTCTCCCCTTACTCTCTCGCTGCTGAAATGCAAACTCCCTAACACCTCATGCGGGGGGAAAACGTGACATATACAGCAGCTTCTTCCTCTCTGTTAGGAAATTCCTTCTTGCCCCGTCTTCACCCCGATAACAGCGTAAGCATATGTGAGACCTGGTGTGTTGGTGAACGTGCATATATAATTCACCAGCGCAACAGGAAGTGGACTTAGGCTATCGTCCTCATTAGCATATCATTTACATCATCATGAGCATACATAATTCATAGTTAGTGAAATATGCTGGTAATACGCAATTAACATTGCTGTCTGTACTATACATGGCGCTCACACTAGGGCATGGCAGGAATCTATAACATGTAGGCATCAGTGGGAAATAGTAATTAGATACTTTTAGCTCCTGACATGCTGAACAATACCAGTCATTTTTCATCATTATATTGAATCATTAACATTCACTACTAAAAATTGCTCTGCAAAGTGCATTTAAAAGATTCCCCCTGCCTCGGGGCATCTTAAGATATATAAATAAAACAGTTAGTTACCGACTGTCCTGCTAATGATAAGACCTGAGCCTCTGGGTGCAACATGCGCACACGAGATATTGGAGAAGTGCTTGTAGGAAATCCTCGGTGTGATGCAATGGTGAGAATGAGGTTGTCAGACGAAGTTAATTCTTAGTATGCATGCTTTTTTCTCTAATTTTCACTCTTGCAAAGCTTGTTCCTCATTAGCTACAAGTACATTTATTCAGCTGCATGCAGTATTTCTCTTTTATGATAAAACTATACTGCTCAAAAAAATGAAAGGAACATTTTGAAAGCACTTTATTTCTCCATAGAACAATCATGTGTTAGAAACAAAAGAATTCAAGTGAAAAAATGAAACAATTTAGTCCATTTTACCAAAATTGCATTGCACCAACTCAAAATGGTTTGTGTGGCCTTGCCGAGACAACTGATGGTGACCTGGGAGATCTTGTCCCAGTTCTGGATCAGGGCATCACTGAGCTCCTAGACGGTCTGAGATGCAACCTGGTGGCGTTAGACAGACCGAACCAGGGGCCAGTCGAGGTATCAGTTCCTTCATCCTCCAGGATTTGCTGGCATACATGAGGCCGGGCAGGGTAGGGTCATGCATCTCATTCTGATACCTAATGGCAGTCATGTTGCCGTTGCCTAGCCTACCTAGTCTTTGTGTCACTCCAGGGACAAAGTAACAGGCAGCAAAACATTTTCCCTGGCTTCTCCAGACCCTTTCACATCTGTCACATGAACCTGCTCTGATCTGTGAAAAACACAGTTTGCCAGTGGTGGGCTGAGAATTCTGGTATTCTGTAAATCCTAATCTGGCACCACGGTGCTGGGCAGTGAGCACAGGGCGCACTAGAGGATGTCGGATCCTCACGCCACACTCATGATGTCTGTTTCTGATTGCTTGGTCAGAGACATTCACATCAGTGATCTGCTGGAGGTCATTTTGTAGCTCTGGCAGTGCTACAAAAGGCACAAAGGAGCAGATACCTGTCCTGCTGATTGGTTAAGGACCTTCTACGGCCCTGTCCAGTACTCCTCGAGTAACTACCTGTCTCCAGAAATCTCCATGCTCCTGAGACAGTGCTGGGAGACACAGCAAACCTTCCGGCTATGGCACGTATTGATGCGCCATCCTGTAGGAGTTGGGCTACCCGTGCAACCTCTGTAGGGTCCGGGTATCACCTCATGCTACCAGTAGTGTAGTAGTGCACCTGTTGTTATTTCATTAACATCAAAGCAGCTGAAACTGATTAACAACCCCCTCTGATACTTAACTGACCAGATCAATATCTCACAAGTTTAAATGAGTCGATGCTACACTCTGATTAAAAAGTGTTCCTTTCATCTTTTTTCAGCAGTGTATTTCACAGCTTTAGTAACTGGGTATCTCACAGGCTCTACATACAAACACAAGGCAAACAAATATATAGATAGTATGTATTTTACTGCTAATGGATTCAGGTAGCGTAGGCGTGGACTCATGGGAAACATTTCATTGGATCAAATTTGGCCTGAAATGTTCGAATCTTAACTGTAATTTTATATGTGACGCAATACTTCTCACTGTACTATTCCTGCATTTCACCACCGTCTGTTTTTGATCCTTGCTTATTATCGTAAAGCTCAGTTCTTATTTTGCTCCTCCTATGCGTCTTTCTTCTCCGTGTGCCTCCTGTGTTCTCTTTTTCTGCATTTCACATTGTCTGAGTTTATTCTCGGTATCTCTGTTAGTGTTAGCTTCTTTTTTTTAAAGTTTACTTCCTCATGTGGTTTTCTGTTTTTACTTCAATCCTCTCTTTCC